TCACACACACACACACACACACACACACACACACACACACACACACACACACACACACACACACACACACACACACACACACACACACACACACTGCATACTTGCCTAAGCCAAGTGGCAACAGGTATACTCTGCTGCTGTCTTAATTTAGATGTTTTTCTTCGCACAACATTTTATCCAAAGAATTATACCAACAAGCACTTAAAACACATAAACCAACTGCAAATTGTACAGCATATAAATGAAAAACATCACTTGCTGATAGTGAAACAGACTGAGGGCATTATGTCTTTCTAGTATCAATATTAGTTGTCCAATTCAAACTGCAAAGCTGAAATCCTATCTTTAAAAATTAGGTAAGTTTGTTGACCTGCAGTGGAGCCAACCGTTGGCAGTTTCTATTAAAATGAAAACAATTTGAAGTCAAAGATAATGTAAGGCAGGGTTGCTGCCATTTTCTCAATTGTCCCTTGCAGATGTCTCCTTTCTGCTTTAACTGCAGAAATTAGTGGGTGAAGCTTTTTATTACACAGAGATAAAAAAATTCACAGGCTAATTGTCTCGCATGAATGAGCCATTAAAATCATGACTACTTGAGGTGGTTCAAAAGCCAGATATTCTATTTAATAAAGTAAGTGTGTTTGGACCAGCTTTGTAGCAAGGTCGCCACATAGAAAGGCGGTCCGGGATTTATTTCAGCAGGTGCAACTTGACAAGATTTACCTGCAGAAATTCCCTCTTCTACATTACTACTAAAGGTTCAGGAGCCCTGTCCTGCTTTTTAAACAACAACCCTCACTGCAATGAGTGAAAACAGGAATAAATCACCTCTGCAGTAAAGAAAGGACATTTTTACAAGCAAAGCTTCTGGCTATGTTAGTAGGTAACTCATTAAAAAGACAGGTGAAGATGGATCAGTATTTTGTTCCAAGCCTTCTCCTATGAAAAATGTTTTCACAGTTCCAGAAACCTTTTTTTAAAAAAAAAAAATCTTGGTTTGGAAACAGGTGTACAAATTTCTATAAACGTCTTACAGGTACTAACGGGATACCTCAAACTTTGCTATATAGTAGCTCTGTTTTATTGTTTCTCAATAATGCAAGCCACCTAGTAATGGCTGGGGATTCTATGTTAACACAAGCAGCATAACATTTGAAGGCAACTTGTCTAAATTTTAAAAAAATCACTGTGGACGTTACCTGTTGTATATTGATGACTGTAAATCAGTGTGCAGCTGATTATGTCTCTGCTGATTTCTTTGCCTCCAAACGTTAGCAGGTATCACCATGAATAGGAAATTTTTTGTTTGCTGGAGCACAACAAATGTTGTTTTTTTAAAGGAAAATATGGTCCTGTTTAGAACAGTTAAAAGTCTATTTAACATGTATAGTTGCCATGAAATGTTGAGAATAACCTTGAAGAGAAAAAAAGGTGGTTGTAGTGATGGTGGGATAGAGAATGCTGGAGAGTAGCAAGGTTAGATAGAACCTTAACTAGAATAGACTTGATAAGGATACATGGGAGTGTTTTTTTTTCTAATTGTAGAAAGAGTTCGTCAAAAACATCCGAGTAACAAAGGTTGGGAACCTAGGGGATAGAGAATGCTGGAGAGTAGCAAGGTTAGATAGAACCTTAACTAGAATAGACTTGATAAGGATACATGGGAGTGTTTTATTTTATTTTCCTAATTGTAGAAAGAGTTCATGTTCATTGTAGGCTACTTACACATCACTGATTTGCAGCGGGCACTGCTCTATATGATTTGGAATTCAACTGCCCAAAACGTCAGCCAGCATGGCCAATGGTCCAGGGATTCTGGGAGTTGAAGCACAAAACATCTGGATGAGCAAAAGTTGAGAACCACTGCTGTAAAATCAGTGGGGTGTGTTACTGCAAAACAGGAATGAGATGAAGGAAGGGAGTTGGTACATGGAAAACTCCTAGACTATATTGTGAAGATGTGATATTTTAT